AGTGGCTGGGGTCCGGAGGCAAGGGGGTTCTGCCCAAAGCCGGTAGCGCTGGATCGGGCAGCTTGGTTCTTAAACAGAGCCGAAGTCTGAGAGGGGAGGAGCAGAGCAGCCGTGGGAGGGGAAGTGCCCGGATGGTATTTTTCACGGATATGTTCGGCTTTTTGGTAATTCCCCCCGGACGGGGGGTTGATTGCCGAAAAGCCGGACATGTCCGGGAAAAACCGGACGTATGGTAACCCTATGCTGGATAATGAGCGAGGTATTTACAATGGTCAAAACTGCAGCAGAGATCTGAGCGGGCTCCATGATTGCTGCGCTAAGGTGCCTGCACGGGTAATCCTGGAAAAAGGGCGTGAAATGTAGATAGGGTGACCAGATGTCCCGATTTTATAGGGACAGTCCCGATTTTTGGGTCTTTTTCTTATATAGGCTCCTATTACCCCCCACCCCCCATCCCTATTTTTCACATTTGCTGTCTGGTCACCCTAAATGTAGAAGAGCTGTTCGGTTTAAGATGGCCGATAAAAGGCGGTAAATGGTTGACCTCTGTAGCTTTCATGGGGTCAGGAAGCTCGCTAGAGCTGCAAGAGCAGGAGAGCAGAGTTTGCGGTGGAAGCGTGAGCAGAGTTTGTGGCGGAAGCTGTGCGGCTCAGTTCACAATGGCCGAAAAACAGTGGGGAATTGTTGCCTTCTGTAGCTTGCACGCGAGCCCAGGACAGACAACATGGAAAAATTAGCTAGCGATGCAAGAGCGGGAGAGCAGAGTTTGCGGCGGAAGCTGTGCTGCTCGGTTCATGGTAGCCAAAAAAAGGTGGGAAATGGTTAGATAAAAGAGTAGATAGAAAGATGAGAGGATATGCGAGGTGGATTCATAGTACCAGGAGACAGGCGGTACACCGTACTGCACCGCCTGCTGGCAGTATGGCGTCTGCCGTCGCTTTCACGGAGGGAGGAGCGAGTGATGGCACACACCCAGAAACACCCGCAAGAATGTTTTTGCCCCATCATGCACTGGGAGCTTAACCCACAATTCCAATGGGCGGCGGGAACTGCAGGATAGCTTCCCACAGTGCACCGCTCCAACATTCGATGCTAGCCTTGGTCCTGTGGACGCACTCCGCCGAATTCACATGCCTTAGTGGGGACACA